GCCATGTCTCACCACAGCCACCGCGGGCCTCGGCTTGCAGCCTCAGCCTGCCGAGGGCGGGGGTGATAGGTGCGCATGACCCAAGCAAACCGCTCGCCTTGTTCTGTTTGGGGACCAAAGGAACATTTTTGGTTACAGTTTGTTTGCTGGGGTGGAGAGGGCTGGGATTTATTTGTAATTTGCGTTTCTCTTTCCCTGAGCAGTTCATGAGAAGGCAACAAGTTCTCCTCCTCTACAGAAAGATTTTGCGAGCCATTAGGCAAGTTCCAAGCGATTCTGACCGGAAGTACCTTCAGGACTGGGCCAGGGAAGAATTCAAAAGAAACAAAAATGCCACAGAAGAGGTGAGAGCAAGACCATACTGAGGCCGCGCCGCGGCTCCTTTGGCCTGTTGTGTTTAGCGTACGTCTTGGAATATGCCACTAAGGTGGTTAGTTTTGATCACTGCTGAAATTCCCCCCTGGCATTTTAAGTTTGTTGTGCAGCGCCAGTGTCTGGCTTGCGCTACCCATTGTTGGTTTCTTGTTGGGGGTTCTTTTGTGTAAGGATTGTATGTAGAGCCTTGGGCATGGTAAGTCCACAGCTGTAACCAGCCAAGTTGGTTCTTGGATGCAGCAGATAAAATAATAGAACTGTGCCATGGTTAACCTGGTAAAACAATGACTGGATTCCTCTTTCCTCTACAGGATACAATACGAATGATGATTACTCAAGGCAGTATGCAGCTAAAGGAACTAGAAAGGACACTTGCGTTAGCAAAATCTTAATGGAAAGACACAGGCTGAAAGCCACTGCCACAAATCCTCAGTGGCACAAGAAAAGATGATCATGCTAATCAAGAATGCAAATCAAGGCATTAACATTTCCTCTACAGTGGCTGCAATTAAATAGTGAACTAAGGTGACGGACGGGAGCTTGGAACATTGCTCAGGTGAAGGTAAAATACCAGCTTCCACATTTTGGAAAACAGACCATTAGTTCTTGAAAAAGTAACAAGATGGGGTTGGTGAGATGGCTCCAAGGTTAAGGCTCTGCCTGCTAAGAACCTGAGTTTGACCCCTGGGACCCACATGGTGGGAGGAAACCACTCCAGAAAGTTGTCTTCTGACCTCCACACAGGCACTGTGGCACCTAAAAAAGAGAGAATGTAATTAAAAATAAATAAAAGGTGACTGTTACCTCATACTTCAGCAAGTCTTAGCTTTAACCAAGAGAACTGAAGCATGCCTATAAAAAGTGTATACAGGATTCACCAATTTTTGTTTTTGGTTTTTTTGTTTTTGAAACAGCTTTTCTCTTTGTAGACCAGGCTGGCCTCAAACCTAGAGATCCACCTGCCTCTGCCTCCTGAGTGCTCAGATTAAAGGTGTGCACCACCACGACTAAATGAATTCAGTGTTCTTCATGATAACCAGATACTGGATTCAGAATATCCATTAACTGATACTTGGGTATATAAAAATGTAGTGTGTTCTACAATAAAATATTATTTTGCAATGAGTGCAGAACTGTTCCCTGCTCCCCATGGTGACCTTGATAGCGTTGTTAAGTTAGAGGAGCCGAGTATAAAAGAGTCCCTGCCTCTACTTGCCGTGGGTACTGCCTTAGGACCAGGGATAGGAGGACAGTGTTCCCAGTGAACAGATAGTGCTGCTTGGAGAGATGTGGAGAATAACAGTCTAATGGCTTTACAACTCTGAACATTTTAAGGATATACTGATGTCCATTTGAGTGAGAGAATGTGATTAAGTTCACAGACAGCCTTAGTATAAAACTGGGGTATGAGGTGTAATTCACAAGAGTAGATTTCTCCATTTGTCAAAGGAAACATTCTAATGAAAATGTTTACATATAAACACAATGTCCAAATTTTATATCAGTTAGAGTCAGCTCTGCAGTTCTCATGCTTTGAAGGTAAGTAAGGTTTACAGTCCAGAGGAGACCAGATGTTTTTGGTTAGACACAGGAGAGCTTTGTGCCTTTTTCAATAAACAGTTTAATGACAAGATGTAGAATATGTGTGGATTTTACTGTGCCATCTTTAGACTGTAAGAGTATGGTATGTTGTCACCTCTCTATCTCAAACAAAAACCCAAACCCCAAAAACAACCCGGATACAGGACTGACAGTATACTAACTCTAGGAGATATTCTAGAACAATGGTTCTGAACCTGAATGACATGGTGCACAGGGGTCACATACCAGATACTTATATTATAGTTTACAACAGTAGCAAAATTACAGTTATGCAGTAACAAAATAACTATGGGTGGGATCACCACAACATGAGGAACTGTGTTAAAGGGTCACAGCATTAGCAAGGCTGAGAACCACTCTTCTAGGACCTGGAAAACCTTTTTTGCCCTTCAGAGTTGTGAAGTTACTTTCTTCAGGTGTGTTACAGTTTCATGACCATAGAACTAAGACCTCACAGAGCATCTGGAGCTTTGTTGGAAATAAAAGAGATGAGAACATTGAAACACCAAAAAGAGGAGGGAAGACTGGGCAATTCTTATCTCCCAAGCCTAATATCCTTGTGGACACTGAATCATCAAGAAAGAACCTTGGTACATTGTGCTCTCCTTCAAAAATTGAGGAAAGAAAAATACATCACAGAGTTGACATCAGGATAAAATTATACACAATTTAGCGAAATATGTGAAAGTGGAAATCTGAAGATTCTGAAATGATTGCGTAAGCAGAAACCCATGTCCATCAACAGAACACAGATGCCAGACGGGGAACCTGACTAGTGTCCTGTACTGGATGCCTGGAAAGATGGTGCAGAAAGAGCTATGTTGCCACCCGAACACAGCACCACCTCCTGGAGCCTTAGGGTCCCATGCATGCTCTGCATGAGAGTGATCTAATTCAGACTGCTTTCATAAGCCAATTTTGTTTGTTTTTCAAATATACAGCATATGCAAAAATACCTGACAAGCATTTGTGGACAATTAGTGTTTTTTATTTTGAAATCAGGTCTCCTGCCCTAATCCTTCCTCCTCCACCTTGCAAGTGTCGCAGATTGTAGGTGTGAGCCACTATACTTTCTATGAGCAGTCTTGAAGAGAGAGGATTTTAAATAGTTCCCTGTGTGGTCTGGTTGACATTCAAATTCAAATATAAACTCTGGGTAGGTCTAAAATCTTGGAGCTAAACAGTGATGAGATGTGGATAGTAATGGTGGTCTTTTAAAAGCACATACAGGCCGGGCGTTGGTGGCGCACGCCTTTAATCCCAGCACTCAGAGGCAGAGGCAGGCAGATCTCTGTGAGTTCAAGGCTCTCAAAGCACATAGCACTTACAGTTGTCAAGAATCCTAAAGCAAGCTGAGGTTCTTTTTTGTACCTCTGGCTGGCCATGAACTCAGAGATCCTCCTACCTCTGCCAAATGCCAGGTGTGTGCTCCTGCACCCTGAACAGTTATTTTTAAAGCAGGTAAAACACTTAGGATGGGATTGTTTTCAAAGGGAAAAGTTAGCCACACCCAGCTTTCTCTTCATCTCTGAGAGTCAGTCTACTTTGCTCACTCAGGTGCTTTGATTAACCTCTCTGGCTTATAGACCAAGTCTTGTTTGGCCTTTTTTTTTTTTTTATGATTTATGTTTTGCCTGCATGCTATGTCTGTGTGTGAGGGTGGGATTCCTAGGTGCAGGAGTTGTAGACAGTTGTGAGCTGTCATGTGATCCTGTGGGTGCTGGGAATTGAACCTGGGTCAGAAGCCTTTGGTTGTTTGGTTTTCAAATTCAAATTTGAAACATTTCAAATTCATGACACAGCCTTTCTGTGGATATGCCCAAACAGTTTGCTGCTGATAACTGAGGGAAGCAGAAGCTTGAACATTAATTACACCAGCAGTACTCCTGGGAGACTCAGACAAGAATAGCTAAGGAAAAGGACTTTTCAAACTGAAGCAGCCCAAACCTGCCTTAGAAAAAGAAAAGGATTATATAGAATCAGGCACAAAGAGATTTAAAAAAAAAAAATTTTAACAAACCAGAAATTACAGGATTTTAAAGAATTATATTCACATTAAATTTAGATTTTTAGGGAGCTGGAGAGATGGTTTAACAGTTAAGGACATATTAATTTTATTTTAAAAAAAGTTATTTATATATACAGTGTTCTGCCTGCACGTATGCCTGCAAGCCAGAAGAATGCATCAGATCTCATTATAAATGGTTGTGAGCCACCATGTGGTTGCTGGGAATTGAACTCAGGACCTCTGCTCTTAACGGCTGAGTTATCTTTTTAGCACCACATATTACTCTTGAAGAGGACCAGAGTTCAGGTCCCAGCATCCACATGGGGCAGCTCAGGACTGTTTGTTACTCCAGCTTCAGGGGATCCAATGTCAAGCAGGCACCTGCACTCCTCTCTCCCTCCCCCTCCCCCTCCCCTCTCACACACACACACAATTAAAATAAGCCTTTTGATTATTATTTGTGTTTACTGAAAATCATCTTATCCTTGTATTTCTTAAAAGGTGCTGCCATGTCTTATACCTTGTGGAGTTAATATGCTTGCATTAACATTAAAGGGTTTCCCACAGACACAGATTGCACCCACAAGACATCTGATGTAGACTTTAAACTAGACGCATTTGCTCTAAATAAGTAAAGTGGCTGAGTACTGGCTCTTAAAGGAATTCTTGAGTGCAGTCAGCAGAAAAATGACTATAAATTAGGAGTACCAACAGAACTGAAAACAATGTTTAATGTTTACAGGAAATACAAGTTCAAGGTAAAAACATTAGACAACATGCCTTTTTCCAGAAAAAAAAAAAAAAGTTTTCATCTACAGATGAAAAACCTGTTTTGGACTCCCCAAATCAAAAGTGATGCTAGGACTGACACATTCACCCATCACAGTTATTTAGTATACAGTATAATGGACGTGCTAACAATTACTCGTTTTTAAAAAGGCCATTAATAATGTACAATTTGACTGTTTGATAACATTTTTCACAGCTGTTGACGATTTTTAGGCCTTGGTTTGAAACATCTGTCAAAAGTACAGCTGGGATGTTGTCTTGTTTTAGCACATTGCACAAGGGGAAAATACACGCCGGATCTGCAGTGCTTCATGATGCTAAGGGACAACTGCAACAAACATAACATTGGTGTTATAAACAAAACATGTTTGGCCATGGGGTTCACTCCTTTAATCCCAGAATTCGGGAGGCCGTGACAGAAGATCGTGAGGTCAAGGGTCCAGTCTAGGGTACACAATCAACCCCCAACAACAAACAAACTTAGGAAGTCAACCCTGTGAGTAAAGGGCTGACTGACCTTATTCAATAGCCTGGTTTTTATGCTTAATGACTCCACAAAAATATCCAATTCACAGTGATAAGCTGCCTGCTTCTGATGAGTAGGAGGTATATCATCAAAGTACTACCACCAAGATACTCTGTGGTCTAGACTTGATGTTCAATTACCGTTGATCTCTGCATTTCTCAACAAGGATATCGTGAGGTACTAAGTATTCTAACAGTGAAAATAACTCTGGCTTGGAGCATAACTCACTGAGCTCAGGATTCATCTCTTACTTAGTATTAGACAGTTCCCAAGAATTTGATGTATAATAAAGAATGAAACTACAGAAGTGAGTGACATCTTGTTTTGGGTAGTGTCACAGCAGGGCTCAGGCAAGTGAGCTGAAGACAGGACCCAGTGAAGGAGCCTGGGAAAGGGTTGCACCTCCCAAGATGCTGAAGATAGACAAGTCAGTCACACGAAATAATGACTCACTGGATTCTGTATTCTAAATATCTACCCTGTTACTTTTTCAGGAATGTCTATATCTATGGATTGTCACTATAAGGAAAAACAAAAACTTGACTTGACAAAGGGCTAAACGCATACTATCCCTGAAAGATCATCACTTCTCTTTGGTTCAATGAACAGCATTTTAGTCACAATTCATGGATAGTAGTTATTATTAGGTTTTTAGGAATAGAGAAATAGAACTGAATTTTCTGTGCATATGTGGAGACTGATATAACCCATGATCCAAAGGATTACAAGAGAAATCCAAGGTCTCAACCAAGATATCTTCATCACCTCCACTGGGTAGATTTTATTCAGTAAACAAGTAAAAGCCTTCTGATGTTGAGTTAGTCAATTATTTACCTTGATGTCCTTCAGTGAGAAAAGTCAGTTCAAAATTAAACTTTCGTGAAATCGCCTTATTTACAAAATACAGAACAAAAGTCTTGAATTCAGAAAGATAGTCTAAGGTAAGTGGCTGAAGTTGTTTCGTGACTGTTTTTCCAGTAATCTGTTCAGTCATTTTGACTAAAAACATGGTAACTAGCCAATGGTTTAAACTTTTCTCATTTGACAAACATTTCCAGTCAGCAATTACTCTTTATTTACATGACCTTTAAAATTATTTTAAGACATACTGGACACTAAGATCATTAAAATGTATTTCCTCTCAAAATCTGAGTTTCACCCAGTGAAAAGATGAGCTTTCTGAGAGTTACAAGGGAAAATGAATGCTTCCTGCCTCTCAGTCCTGGTTCTGCTTGAACTGTCTAGGCACAGCTGCTTCTGAGTCCCGGCTCTGCTAGGACCATCAAGGCACAGCTGCATCCCATTCCTGGCTTTGCTAGGACTGTCTAGGCACAGCAGGTGTGTTGATGTGGACATGAATGACTACTTGTAGAATTCCCAGAAAGTAATCTTTGCTTCTGACATATTTCATATCACTGAATCATAGACTTAGGCACACACCTTCTCTTCTTGGTGTGGCTTGCTTTTTATGAACCTAGCCTGAGGTTTAGAATTAGGAGTGAGACCTGCAACTCCTCAAGCTTCCCAGGATTCACTGTAACTAGTGAAGTCCTTGTAACTTGAGGGCACAGAAGTATGTTTTCACAACAGATTAGTGACTTTTTAAAAATCAATTTCACCTTGAGCATAATAACCAGCTCCTGGGACACAGTTACTTTGCTGTCACCAAGTCAGGAATCCCATTGCTTCACCTCAGGGTCTGGGTTTTACTTCTGCACTTTTGTCCGCAGCTTGGCAAGCTCCTCTTCCAGACTTCTGATGTGCTCCTTCAGTGTGGCCTCGTCTTGCTGGGCTTTCTGACTGGCTTGGCTTCGTGCTTCTTCGATTTTCCGTTCATACCATTTTTCCATGTGGGTGGAAACGGCCTCAAAAAAATACTGGGTTAGCTCCAGGGCTTGTGAGGCATCTCGAACATCACCGCCTGCTGCTGATGGTTGCTGCCCACAGGGGCTGCTGGCTGCTGGCTGCTGTCCTCTTTTTTTGGTCTGCCCACTTCTCCCAGACTTTTTGGTTTGAGTGCCTCTGTTGACACAGGATGCCATCTGCTGATCACACTTGGGAGCCCCATTCAAGGGACAGGAGGCTGCTGGGGCCTTGACCTTCCTTGACCGGGAGCCTGTGCAGTCAGAGGGAGGCAGCTCCTCCTGCTGTCTCTGGGCAGCAGTGGCACTGAGCACCTTGTCCTTGGGCCTTACAACTTGAGAGGAGCTGTTGGAAGCTGCCACTGGTCCCTCAGCTGCCACTGGTTGATCTACAGCTGTTTTCAAAGGAGAAACAAATGTCAGAGCATGTCCACATTTAGACACAGAACTGGGGACTCATTCACTTGAGAGTCCTGGAGTCCTCAGAACCTCAGCCTTCCCAGGCACCACCTACCCACCCTCTGCTCTGCCTTTCTGGGGACTGCTCACCCACTTCTCTGAGCTTTCTTTCACCTTCTTCTCCCTCTCTCCCCCTCTCTCTTCCTCCCTCCCTCCCACTTTATCTCCAGCATTCTCATCTTAGTTCATCAGGGCTTTCTTGAATTCTGTGTTGGCCACAATAATAGCATATAGGATAGATTTCTGGCCTTTCCTTGGCCTGTCTTGTTTGCCCTAGAAGTCTCTGGGTCCTAATTCTAATGCCTAAGGATGACAAAACTTTACAAAGTGTCTCAACACAGAAAGAGTGCTGATCTATGAGGAGGAATACACCCACACTCTTCATAAGCCTATGTACCAATTTCTTTTATGGACTTTTTCTTTGCTTGTTTGAGACAAGAACTCACTATGAACTCATAGCAATCCACCTGCCTCTGCCTCCTAAATGCTGAGATTAAAGGCATGTGTTACCACACCACACCCACTGACAACTCATTTTATTTTTTTGGAGTGGTTTTAGGGTCACAGCGTCATCGAGAGGAAGGGATGCTGCAGTCCCGATCCACTCGGCCCATGCTCCTGTCACTACAGCCGAACGTTCTCTAGCTAGTCCTAGCATGAAAAGTTGGCTCAGGGTGTTTCTCAACATGTTGGTACAAAGATAAAGCCATGTAGATAGATAGGGCATAGTAAGCACTTGATCTATCAAAGTTCCCCAGTAGAACCTTGTTACCAAGCTCTAATGTCTTTAGAATTATCATGTACATAAATAAAATATGGTTTATACACACAGTGGTGTTTGATTCCACCATAAAGGAAAAATATATCATTTGTAGGAAATGGATAGAACCTGAGATTATTGTGGTAAGAATTAACTCAGACTAAAAGGACAGATGGTACATTTTTTTCCTTATATTCAGAATCTAGAACTTACTTTTTTACTTAAAAATTTTTCTTCTGAAACAAGGTTTCACTTTATATAGCTGATTGTCTTGGAACTCGCTATATAGACCAAACTGGCCTTGAACTCACAGAGATCCACCTGCCTCTGCCTCCTGAGTTCTGGGATTAAAGGCGTGTGCCACCACTGCCAGACTGAATCTAGACTTTTAAAAGCTATAACATGGAAGAGGGGCTGTTTGGGAAGAGGAAATGAATTAGCAGAAGTGGAGGTACCTACCAGGGGGCATTTGGGATGATGCATGTGTGTGGAAATATAATGAAACCATCATTTTGTACAATGAAGCATGCCAGTTTTCATTTAAAGCGTGTCTCACCACCGGGGTAAGATCTGGGTACAGGCTGCTGCTTTAAAGAGCTTTGCAGGGTTAGGTAAAGGCAAACGGCCACTTGAGTAGGAGCAGAGAGAGGAAAGGCCTAACCCAGAAGAAAGTTGGTCCTTTATCACCCTTTATCTTCAGGATCCACTGGCCCCCACTGTGCTGTTGGCTTTGTCAATTTCCCATAAACTAGGGTCATCTGGGAAGAGGGCTTTCAGTTGAGAAAATGCCTCCATCAGATTTCCTATAGGCAAGCCTGTGAGTGCATTCTCTTCACTAATGGTTGATGTGTGAGAGACTGGTCCACTGTGGTACTGTTACCCCTGGGCAGGTGGTCCTGGGGTATATAAGAAAGCTAGCTATAAAGAGCAAGCCAGTAAACACTTTCTTCATGGTCTCTATCTCAGTTCTTGTCCCCGGGTTCATGCTTTAAGTTCCTATCCTGACTTTACTCAGTGATGGAGTATGACCTGGGATGTTGAAGCCAAATAAACTCTCCCCTCCCCAGGCTGCTTTTGGTCATAGTCACCTGTCAATATCCCTTATTTTATTCCTCACTCTCACGTATCTGGATACGTCATGCTTCCTAACATTTGGACCTCACTGTGTTTGCTGAAGCTGTGGCATATGGACAGTGTTCAGATCAGGAAGAACAAGGGTGGGTCTGTCTGCCAGATGTTCTCTATGCGTGGGTCACCTGGAGAGGAGCCACATGGAGATGGTGTGGATTTAGCTCTACAGGTCCGAGACTCTAGAGAAAGCCTCAGCTCTAGATTCTGGATCTTCAACATACACCAGGCTTTTAATTCGTAGCACAAGGACATCTAAAATAACAAATAATACACAAGAGATTGAATTTAATAAGACGTATGAATAAAAGCATCAAGAATGAACTTCTGGGGGGAGGGCGTAGGCCCTGTCCTAAAGGCTATGACAGACTCTGAAGACCCCCCCCCCCGAAGGCCTCACTCTCCCTTGGGAACAGAAAGGGGATGGGATAGGTAGGGTGTTAGTGGGGGGCAGGAGAGGAGGGGAGGGAGAAGGAACTGGGATTGACATGTAAAACAATCTTGTTTCTAATTTAAATAAAAAATGGAAAAAAAAGAGACAGAATGAACTGGGCTGGGTGGTGGTAGCACATACCTATAATCCCAGGACTGGGGAGGAAGAGGCAGGTGGATCTCTGTGAGTTCAAGGCCAGTGTGATCTACAAAGCAAGTTCCAGGACAGGCTCCAAAGCTACACAGAAAAACCCTGTGTGGGACAGGGGATGAATTTCTGGGGGTGGGGCGGGGCTGGAGAAACAGCTCAGTGGTTAAGAGCAGATTGCTCTTCCAAAGGACCTAACTTCTATTCCCAGCACCCACATC